ATCTAGAATCTATCACACAAGCCAAAGTTGAGCAGGAGCAAAGAGCTATCCAAGCCGAGGAAGCCCTGCGAATGACAAGATGGAAGAATGTAAATACAGCTGAAAGGCTGCAGGAGGAATTTAAAAGACTCTCCATCCAGATGGCTTCTACATTTGATGCAAATGAGAAGGTGGTTACAAAGGCTCTGACTGAATCTAGTGAACTACGCTCACAAAAATTTCAGCTGGAAGAACAGCTCGAGAAAGCTAAAGAAGAGCTCCAATCATTTCGGGAGGATTATGAGACAAAACTCTCTAACCTTTCCAATCAAGTCAGTCTAAAATCAAATCAAATAGAACAGTTGTTGGAGGAAATTGATGACAAGTCTAAGAAATTTGAACAACAAAAGAAGCACGTGGAAGAAGCTAGTGCGGATTTTACCGAGGGATCTCCAACCTAAAAGATGAGATTGAAAAGATGACCATAGAAAAGAATTGCCTCCTTGAACAAGCTGAAAACTTGAGACTTGAGTTGGAACACACAAAAGCATTAGCTAAAGAAACTGAAGTCATGATGCAAAGAGGACATCTAGAAAGAAATGAACTGGTGAGTGCAGTTGCTTTGATGAAAAAAGAAGCTGCTAAATCACTAGAAGAATTGCAAAGCATGAACACCTGAAGGACGAGAAAGAAGCAGAAGTTGAATCTCTACAATCAGAGCTGGATATCCTCAAACTCAGTGCAATAAATTGAAACATTCTCTGTCCGGAGATGAAGCAGAGAAAGAAAACTCAAAAAGCACGTAGCTCAACTAAAAGGTGACCTTAAGAGGAAGGAAAATGCATTTACTGGCATGGAAAAGAAGCTGAAAGAGAGCAATGGAAGAGCAGCGGTTTCTCATGGAACAAGAACACCATTAAGAAACAATAGATCTCCCACGGGTCCTGGCAGTTCTAAAGAGGTTGCAAGCCTGAGGGAGAAAATAAAGTTGCTTGAGGTAAATTTACTCATCCAAATTCTGTATAAAATCAACTTCCACTTTGATTTGTTGCAAATGGTTTAACATCGTTTTGGGGATTCATGATCAGCCACAATCTTTATCATAATATTCCTCTTTCCCTTACTGAGATCAATTTTTCCCTTATAGTTTGTTTCTTCCTCAATGTTGTGCAGTTAAGGAAATCTAATATTCATAATGATTCCTTCATTTTTCATGGCAGGGACAAATAAAGTTAAAGGAAACTGCTTTAGAAACATCCACAATTTTTTTCCTGGAAAAGGAACAGGATCTTCAGAAGAAAATTGACGACTTAGAAAGCCGAGTAGAAGAACTCAACAAGCACAGCGCCAGCTTCTATGAGTACGAACTTCATAAGGTCGGTAACATTGTACCATGATTGAGATGAAAAAGGAAATAAGTAAACATTTTTGAAGTGTCATTACTGAACTTATGTTCTCTCCATAACATTAACTTGACGAGGACAATCTTGAACCCTAAAGATTGTTCATTATGACAAAATTTTGAAGTGTATTTCTTGTTTCGACTTATATCTTGTTTCGAAATGGTAAAAATGCAGGTAGTTAAAGATACTAAGGAAGCAATTGAATCAAATGGCGTTATATCAGATGGGAACTTAAAGGAAAGGTAAGATTTGAAGACAAAGAACTTAATTTTTGTGTCAGTTTTTACTTTCAGGAACAAAATAAAAGGTTTGAGTACGTGATAACTGCTTTCATTGATTTCTTATCTTCAGAAACGACGATGACAGTTTGCCAGTGAAAGAGCAAAAAGCCTGCGTTGTCGATAGAGACAATAGCCAGGATGAATTGATAGAGGAACTAGCAGCATTGAAGGAAAGAAACAAATCCATGGAAAGCGAGTTGAGGGATATGCAAGAGCGATATTCGGAGATAAGCCTGAAATTCGCAGAGGTTGAAGGTGAACGACAACGACTTGTTATGACGGTGCGTAAAATCAAGACCGCTAAGAAGAGCTAAAAGTAATCGATTTCTTCGTCTACAAGGTACCGCAATGTATAGTTGAAGTAGCAGCTGGATTTTACCCACACGGAAATTGCTGGTGAGACGGTTCTTTTCTTATAGTGAAAATAAATTAAGTTGTACAAAAATCAAATACGCATTGACCACACACCTAGTAGTTTCCATACATTGGTAATTTTATTTTTTCCATTTTCCCCTTTCACGTTTGATTCTTGTTCGCATAATTTCATTTGAAAACTTTCATGACCATTTCCATAAATATAATTATTTCATTTTCTGATTAAGTAAACCAACTCTTCTTCTACTCTTTTGGGGCGTTAGATTCCATAAAATTGTTTAATTTAGGACAATTTTCCCTTCTTTTATATAATTAGTTTTTAGATTTTTTTGTGCTGAGAAAATATAATTCTGATTAAAAAGGAAGTTTTGGAGTGAAATTCATTAATTGATCGAGTGATCAATGATGTTCATATTATTTCATCTTATACGGGTTTAAACCTCGGAAATTACCTTAAAATATAACTTCTACCTACCTAATAAAGAGAAAATCTTCGGAGTATATGAAGATTTCCTCTTTCATTAATGACATAATAGCTCATTTCAATTTTCAACTAACGAAAAGAGAAGGATAATTATCTTCCTATAGAAATTAAAACAATTAGATGCTATAAAAATCAATAAAGATCATGGAAATTTTTATACCCGTATTTAAAATTTATCAACTTTCTGCATTTTTTTAATCAATAATTGCTATTTTTATTAAATAAATATAAAATAATAATAACAAGTTGACAAATTAATTTTCTTATAATTCAATTGTGATATATATATTTTTATTATAAATAATTATTAATATAAAAAATAGTACAATAATCTAAAATAAGAGTAGATAAATAAAATAACTATAAAAAATCAAAATAAAGAAACCACGTCAAATAATTGTTGTCGACTATATTCAGCCCAAATAGTTGTCCATTAATTGATTTTAACACTACATTAGTATCTCCTAAGACAAGCCTATTGGTAAGATTAACCTTCAAATACATTTTAGCCACGTACATTACGCAAATTCGCAATGGTATTTCAGTAAAATCGTCCATCCCCCTCTGCTCGTTCTTTGAACTTACCCAAATGACCGTTACTGACACTCTAACGTCGCGGAGCTCTTAATTTCATCTAAAGCTTTTATATAAAGCCAACGGTTAGATTATCGTTCCCCCTTCCCTCTCCCTCGTCGTCGACGGTTCTATTCTGGCGAAAAGATCGTGCAGATCACAACAGAAACGGAAAGGACTGCCAAATTCGGTGGAGTCGTTTGGATCGTCAAAGCCTCGGCTCTCTTTTTTTTATTATTTAAAAAGCTCCCTCTTTTTAACATTTGATTTCTATTCTTTGTCCTTTTGGTAAAGAATCCGTTATCCCTCGTCCTGATATTTTTACCCCTTTTGCACCTTCACATAAGTAACTTGTTTCAGCTATGGTCCGATCTCTCTGACGCCCATTTCAGGGATTGCTTGTTTTTGTTTGGGTCTTTCTTCGTTTCTTCAATTCCTCACCAAAACGTGAAAGAGAGATAACATTTTGCAGAAACATTTCTGTCGTCCGCGTTGCTTGGGGTCCGGTTCGTCGGGACCCGGCTCACTCTGCCGGTGTGCCCCATACATGTATAGTTCAGTGCTTGCACAAAGGATTTAACCATCCTGATGGATTTGAATCTGCACCTGAGAATATTAAGGTAGGATCGTTGCAAATGTTTATGAAGAACTCTGGGAGTTGCGAAGACATGGGTCCTGCATCTTTCCCTGTGGAGGAATTGCATAAGATCAGTGTGTTCGACATAAGAATGGTGAATGCCGATCAGCATGCTGCGAATATCTTATTTCGAAAAGGAGAAGATTGCCGCACCGTGCTTATTCCTATTGGTCACGGCTACTGCCTGCCCGAGAATGTAAGAACGGCAAATGCTGTTAGACATGCTGATAGATAAATTTGAATGTTTGAACTAATCTCCTTTTGCTTTGTTTACAGTTTGAGGATTGCACATTCGATTGGATTTACTGACCACGATCGCGGAAGCCGTACTCCGTGGACACCATTAACTACATAAAGTCGCTGGATGCCGAAAGAGATATCGAACTTCTGAAATATTATGGATGGGATGTTCCTATTGAATGTGCCAACACGCTGCGGATCACCACACAATGCTGTTGAAAAAAGGGGCTGAGCGAGGCCTCACACCTTTCACCATCGGAAGCATCATGTGCAGAGAAACCGTGAACAAGGAATCCGTGATCGAGCAGATCGTCTGCGAAGCTCGGGATTCCTTACTTCCAGACATGAGCGAAACGGCGTTTATGGAAAGAGTCTCTCAAGTCATGGATTCTTGGCTTGACAAGCTCACGAACTGATGCATCACTTAGAATAAATATTGTATGTATTCACCTAACGACGAGTCCATTTCCGTATGGACATCGAATTACACGAACTTCAACGGCTTATCTTCTTTTACACGATCCCGAAGCTTTTCGTGTTTATTTTTTCCCTCCTTTCTTTCGCTCTGTCAAGTATCTGTATATTCAACAGAGAATAAGATAATAAAATACAAAGTATGGTAAGATTCTAAATATATATAGATTGCTGCAGGATCATAGTTCAAAAAGAGCTACAGAACTTGTACAGATGCTGAAGTTCTGAAAAATTTGTTCAAAATTTATCCAGGGAATATTATAAGGTTACATCGTCAATTGCATATGGAAGAAGTAAAGCAAATGATATACATGTACATGATGAACCTATTTTGTGTGTGTATATATATATATATGGAAATAAATGTCAGATGATTTATTAACAAAATAATCTAAGCAAAAACTGTGCTTTTTCTGTGTGGAAAAAGGGTACAAATTGTTTTCTTTCGTACCAATTTGCAGTGTTGACAAATAAGAACGGTGACCATGTGGAGAAAAGGAATCTACAGATTTTTCTTTTGACTCGCTTGGCCCTAGTAATTCAACAAAAGTCTTCACTTTTACCGTTTTACGTCACTTAAATAATTTTCCTTCCCCACTTTCCCTTGTTAAATACACTTTCCTCGCATCCAAACACCCCCTCACTACAGAAATCTTTTTTTTTTCTCCTTGATTTGCTTTCATCCATTTCTTAAAGAAGAAATGGTGAAGCCTCAAAAGCCCCCATCTGGCCGTACAAATCTAGCTTCGTGTATTGTAGCAACGATTTTCTTGATCTTCGTTGTAATAATAGGTCTCATCGTTTACTTCACCCTTTTTAAACCAAAGGATCCGAAGATCTCTGTCAACTCCGTCCAGATTCCGTCGTTCTCAGTCGGTAACAACTCCGTCAGCTTCACTTTCTCCCAATACGTTTCCGTTAAAAACCCTAACCGAGCCGCTTTCTCTCACTACGACAGCTCTATCCAGCTCATTTATTCGGGTTCTCAAGTCGGATTCATGTTCATACCCGCGGGGAAGATCGAAGCGGGTCGGACCCAGATCATGGCCGCAACTTTCTCCGTTCAGTCTTTTCCCTTGGCTGCGCTGAATGAGGCGTCGGCCGCAACAATTCCCATAACTCCAACGACGGGGCCCATCGGTGTTATTGGAGGGTTTGGCGGGAATAACAATGGTTATCGAGTCGGACCCACGATGGAGGTTGAGTCTCGGATGGAGATGGCGGGTCGGACTCGGGTTCTGAATTTCTTCACACATCATGTTGATGCTAAATCTGAATGCAGAGTCACCATTGCAGTGAGTGATGGTTCTGTTTTAGGTTTCCACTGCTGATTTTTTTTTTTTGTCTTTTTTAGTTATGTTAATGTAATTTAAGGGACTGATTAGCCTTTTTCTTTCAAGATTTGTTGAAAGAAGTGTATAAATAGTGCGCAAGTTGTTTTAGGAAGTCAAGCTTTTGTGCTTAAATTTACCCTACTATCTAGGGGGAGAAGGTGCTTCTTAGAAATTGGTGGAACAGTTTAGGCGAATTAGTTGGCACCTAACTGTTTGAATATAGTGTATAATCCGAGTTTAAAAAGATCTAAATTGATTGAAGTTCAAATTTAAATAAATGAACATTTTATATACCTTTTTTTTTAATTAAAAATAGCATATAGTGGTATGCGTTTGATAATGATTTAGTGGGTAAGGAACGGTGATGTTGTTCAAGGCAGGCGGGGCCACAGACAGCAGCAGACATTGAAAGCACCATTCATCATCCAGTTTCCACTAACCTCGAGATTCATGTCTGTCTTTTCGTTTTTCTTTCTTTTAATCCAACAGAATAGTAGTACACATTCCGACGACAAGTGTTTACTATCTCAGTCGTGCATGTCGGTATTCGAGTTTCCGATCCTGCACACAAATGGGAATGAGGTGCAACAAATCCAAGTGGTTAAGGTGATTTTTTATTAAAAAGGTTCACACGTTAAGGGGCTTCTCCCGTCCAAGATCAAGATATATTTAAAATTCAATTAGTATTTACATATGAATTACATATTGTTTATCAAGATGACGGTTGTATAATTCAAATTCAACCTTACAATTTATTCTTGAATCCCAACAATTTGAACCAACACTCGTTGGACTTGATTTATTATGTATTAAAATTGTATTTTAATGTTAAAAAGATAAATATGAGAGGCAAATTCAATCTTGAGACATGTGAGGAAATATAGTCAAATTTAACCATTAAACAATATTTGTTGAGGAAGTGGTGAGAAACGTTTTTGGAAGGACAAAAACAAAGGGATATGAAAGAAAAACTCAAAATAAAATTGAAATCGTAGGCTAAATTAATAATTATTGGGTGGCAAGCATGGTGCCTAGAGAGTCTAAAAAGAGATAATTTTTCGGTTTTCAAGATTTGAAAGAGGAAGCAGAGAAAGAAGCCTTTTTTACTTCTTATTTCTAAAGGTCTGGGATTCGTGATTTGAATATGAGCTATGAGCTTTTGGATTTTACAATGTTTTCCATATCTGCAGTTTAAGTGCTTGTTGATTTGCTCATTTCTCTGCAGTTCAGGGAACGGGTAACATACAACAAATATTTCAGCACAACCAGGATAAGTATAAGAGAAAATAACCTCAGTGATCAAAAATGTCTTATATATAATATACGATTTTAATCAATTTTTTTTAGATTTGTCAAAATGACCAATTAAATCGGAATGCGATTGATAATTCGCAACGCGATCTCCGGTATCGCAAATCAGTTTCCAGATTCGCAACACGAACTTCGACTATCGCATTGCGATTTACATATTCGCATTGCGATAGTCCAAGTTCGCGTTGCGATTTATTCCAATTTCGTTGCGATAGTCGAAGTTCTCGTTGCGATTTATTCCAAATTCGTTGCGATAGTCGAAGTTCGCGTTGCGATTTATTCCAAGTTCGTTGCGATAGTCCAAAATCGCAACGACGGTATTGCATTTGTTTCTTAAGAATTTTCTCTAAAAAAATAGTATTCGCGCGGACGTGTCGAAGACACGTATGACCACGACCACGACCACAACCCGAGACGGACGGCGGCGGCGCGCGAGAGTCCCCCTTGTTCTCTATCACTCAACAAGGAAGTGGGAAAACCAAGCCTTAAATACCATTCTCAATAGTGTTTCCAATACTATGTGGGATTGAGCATTACCAACACTTGTTCCCAATACTATGTGGGATTGAGCCTTAAATAGTGATATTATTTTTGAATGTTTTGCTTAAAATTACAATAATCGCGATTGATTGTAGATTGACTTTTAATTATGACATATTTAATAGTATAATATTAATGCAATTGGTTGCTGATTCAGTTGTTTTAAAGTGCATGATTTGTTAATTGTTTCCTGAATAATCACATTGTATTGGAAACAAGTGTTGGTAATGCTCAATCCCACATAGTATTGGAAACACTATTGGGAATGGTATTTAAGGCTTGGCTTTTCCACTTCCTTGTTGAGTGATAGAGAACAAGGGGGACTCTCTCGCGCCGCCGCCGTCTCGTCTCGTGGTCGTGGTCGTGGTAATACGTGTCTTCGACACGTCCGCGCGAATACTATCTTTTTAGAGAAAATTTTGGTTGTTCGTATTGCTATAGTCGAAGTTCGCATTGGAAACTGATTTGCGATACCGGAGATTGCGTTGTGAATTATCGATTGCATTGCGATTTAGTTGGTCATTTTGGTAAATCCAAAAAAAGTTGGTTAAAATCGTATATTATAAGACATTTTTGGTCAATGAGGTTATTTTCTCTAAGTACAAACTATCTGGGTAACTCCTAGACCCAACCTAGAAGTTACAACTGAATTAGAGTGACTATATTGATCATAATATGATCCACAAACGAAAATTTTTAATAAGTCGTTCTAAAAATGCTTACCAAATATAAAATCATAAATAAACTCATGTCATATTTTAAGAAGGCTGAAAAGTAAATATTAAACAATATACAGTATATAATCGAGATCATACTTCCGATAGCCAAATTGGTCCTATATCTGGATAATTTGAAAAAAAAAGACAGAAATAGAGTGAGGTACAAGACTCAATGTGTCCTATAAATTTAATCAGGTAATACCGCAATGTAGAAAAATTTTAAGTATAAAATAATAATTAAAATAATAATTGACTAATATTAAAATTTAGAAATTTTACCAGCAGAATGTCCCAATGGAAATTCACAATCTTACATTTCGTTCTGAATTAACAAAATATGCATATTACCTTACAAGGTGACATTAAAAATTGAATACCAAAATCAGAATACGGATTTAACCCTCATATGAGGATCCCAAACAAAGTCAGGACAGAGATATAATCTCATGCAGATGTCAGTACGGGAAATTTATCCCATGCAGATGTCAGAACGGGGAGTTTATCCCATACAGATGTCAAAAAGGGGAATGAGGTCCCATGAAGAATTAGGACAGAGACTAAGCCCATACAGAATCAGGACGGGGAATAAATCACATGTAAATTATGACGGGGTTTATGCCCTCTATAGAGGATCTCATGCAAATATCGTATATGTTTCAACATGCAAATTAATGGTGATATCACAGTATTCAGAAGTCAGATAGTCGTGTATATATAAATATATATAATCAGATCACAATCATGTTTATAGATAACAACATATAACATAACACGTTAAATATATCGAATATGTCAATGTGACACACTTATAAGAGAAAAATACATATCGGTCAGGCCTTATGTTTCTTACGTTTAGTATTAGATCCTATGGAATGTGAACCTCAAAACAATACTAGTCTATGAACACAGAATCCATAATTCTAAACGGTAAAAGACTATAAAATCACTAAATAATATTTACACATATCTCGAGACAAACGAGCATAATTGAGCTGAGTTGAGCGAGAACGATCATGATTAACTAGTGAATGATGCTGAGAAGCATGATCACATTCGGAAATCATATCAAAAAGTGAGTCCAAAATATCACAATTTACTTAATTAAATCATGATGTTAAGCAATAAAAGATGCAAAAAAAGGTTTTTGGGGTCAGAATTTAACCAAGCGTACTCGGGATGTCAAAAAAACATAAAGATAGGTAATTTCGGGAAAAAAATCAACTGTGAAAGACAAAATCAACGGTCAACAGATCAGTCAAACGGGTCGATCAAATGGGTTGGGTCAACGGGTCAGTGACCGGCCTAGCCGGTTCGGTCCAAGGGCAGTTCAGTCATTCCAAACTGTCGGACGAATCCCATGCACGCAAGACGGCGTGTGGGAGTGCATGGGGGACTTTACGGTGGCCGGAAAAAATACCAAATTTTGTAGAAAAATAATTCCAACTACATGGAATCACTTACCGGGGTCAATTTGCGAAAAAGATCGACGAAGATGAGGTTTTTAGTGAAACCCGAACATTCGAAACTTCATCGATTGCAAATGGTGATGGTGAACGAAAATCTAAGGACACCAAACAAACGAAATTGATGAGATGAACGCAGTGGTACCGAAGGTGTCGAACACCTCCTCTCAATTAGCAATGAATTAAAAAAAATAAAAAAATATTTTGTTGAGAGAGAGAAAATAGAGAAAGAACCGACTAAAGTGCCCATTTTTAAAAAAAAAATCAAATGGTAACCCCAAAATTTATGGGTTAGTTACAACCCAAAACCCCATATTTTTAAAGAACCCCAATATACTAGTAAACTTACCAACACTTCAATTTAACCCAATTTTTTTGGGTGTTACAATTTGCATTTATAAAGATTGCACTTCAAGTGCATATCCGGTCTCCACCACTGTTGCATTCCATCAGCCTGCTTGAAATCTTGTGAGGGGTAAGATTCACTGTCAAATATGCCGAAGGGATCAAATGCAGTGGTTCTGCAGCCTCGGCACCCCTTCTCACGACACTTGTTAATAGATCTCTTAATTAATGCTGGGTCGCTAATCTCTCGATGGCCCCGGCTCGGATCTCTTCCATCTTTTCCTATGCTCAAAGTAACCAACATATTCAGAGCACAAGTGGTCTGCAGGGTTCACAAACAGACATGGAGTCCATGTAGACAAAACGGCGAACGGACTTCCGATCAACTTGTTTCGATGTTACCCTTCGTGGCGAGAACGAATCCTGCCGTGATAACACTGCTCGCGAGCCGCTGTCCATGTATAACATTAGTATTTCAAGCACCCTGAACCAAACTAGACCTTCGATGATTCGAATTAGTCCTGCATACGAGTAACATACAACAAATATTTCAAGCACACAAGGCATTATCCACTAGCCAAGATTCAAGTTCTTAGACCTTAAATATCTTGTCGTTTTCTGTTCAACAGGGGAAGAACTTACCAATCTATAGTGTTTAGGTGCAAGGGGCCTGAAAGACCAAAATCTTTGCTCGCGGAGCTCATCACTGCATTTGCAATTCTTCTTCTTTTTGTTTCGATATTTGGAAATGCAAAGCTGCATGCACAAGCCAGTTAACCAAAAGCTGCCTGTAATTACATATGAATGGAACATGCAGTCTAAGGGCTTGCTCAATGAGATGCATTTATCAAGGCCAAGAAAGCATCAATTACAACATACAATGTTCCTAAGATTCAAGAATTCTTCAAAACCAACCATCAAATAGAATCATGGAACTACATTTTTAACATTTCAAAAGCCTAGAACATTGTTGGTCAAATAAATATTCACAAACTGCCATCCCCTCCCCCATATTTATTCAATTAGTTTATATAAAGTACCCTTCAGTAATCTATATTGAAAACTTTGTATCTGATTTATACTAATTATACATGTATATTAAAAGCAAACCCACCAACAAAAATGGCTAAAAAACACAAGAACTGAGTGCATCCTTCTCAAAATTAGCCATGTCACTGAAAGATTAAGGCAAACCCATCAAAGGCAAATGACTAAAACAATCAAACATCAATGCTTCATCGAGATAACAGAAGAAGAAAAAGAAAAGAAATTTCCTATTTACCTTTTGGTGGAATTGAAAATGATTGTGTTTCCTTTTTATATTATCTAAGGGGTTTTTGTAATAAATTTGAAGCAGATGGTTGGTGAAACAGCCATACAGGCATGAAAGTAGGGAGAAAAATGTCTCTGTCATCCAACAGAAGTTTCTAACGACGTGCGAGCTGTCGGGTTTTATTGCGATTCCTGTAACGACCAAGAAAGCAACGGATCCCGTAAGATACAAGCATTGTTTTAGCTTCCTTTTCGTTTCCCCAAAGGATTATTTCTAAAATAGGTATATAAAAAATATGTTATGTTTTTATTTTAATATTTAAAATAATTTTAATTAAATACAAAATTATCATAATTCTTTTATCTAAATATTAAAATATTTTTTTATCTTATTACATACAATTTGCTGCAGAATTACAAGTACCAAAATGAATTACATGAGAAAAATGGAATCCATCGTATAAAGAATAACTTTTGGACCAAGTTGTTGGAGTAGCTCTTGGGGGCAAGTAGTCAAACATATTGATGGTTCAAAGGGTATTGGGATCATTGTCAGGCATCTAATCTCCAATGTTGATTCCTCAACTTCTTTTTCTGATCCAACCAAAATTGAATCTCCTGGACGGAGATAAAGCATGTGATGATCCAACTGAGTGTTGCTTGAATCAGATACTTACTGGCCAGATATCTAAATCTGTTCGGTCGGTATAGATTGGGAACTAAGTAGTCTCTCTGCCTCGTCGTTTGCTTCGGCTTGGAGTTTCCGTTTCTGTATAAACATGTCAGAAGACAATTGATCAAAAAAATTTGAATGGCATGCTGAAGAACATAGCAGAAGGTGGAAGAGAAAAAGGAAAATTGCTTTGACATATAGGGACATGCCTCTTCGAGATTCTCGAGCTCCATGATTTGTTGTATCTGCTCAGCAATGGTTTCCTATAGAAAAAGAAAATTGTCAATCACATTACTTGTATGCTTGCTAAATGCAGAAAAGATATACGTAGACTGGTGCTCACTGCATTGCTTGCTGCTTCGCAGCTAGAACATCAGAGTCCATTTCCACTTCGATTTCGATCATTGAAGAGATCTGATGAGTAAAGGTACCACATATGTTATTCCGATACAATCCATAATGAATGAACATAAAGAAGAGTTGTCAAGGTTTCAATAATAAAAAGACCTACTCTTGCATAACTATCAATGAGTTCAATCCTTCCCCTGAGCGAGTTCTCCAAGCCTTCACGCACCCTTTTGATTCTACTTCTTCGGGCACTGAAAATAGATCACAAAGAAAATATTGTCCCGCTGTACTGAAAATAAATGATGATGGAAAGATGTTTAACTAAAGACCAGAAGGCATAAAATCTGTTAATAACACAGTAATTAATTTGTAAAGAGTTTCACCGATAAGAAGGTTCTCTTACAGCAAAAATTTTGTTCACCAATTGGCACATGCGAGCCAGCATCCACACCTACACCGTAAAAGGAACAAAGCTTCTTGAATAAAACATCAAGCCACCTTAGGATGAACTGATTTAGAAAAACACTATTGACTAATTATTGATTGAGAAGTGTGATCTATCTAACATATTTGGAAAAATAACTTCTTCCAACTTACAACTAGAAGATTAACAGATAGTCCAATCAAGCTCATACTTAGTTCCACACTATGCAGTTCAATTATAACCGTGAAAGAAAAATCATGTCATCATTCAATTTATAGAGAATCAGTCGTACGATCAAATTTAATGACCATCTTTGCAGATGCTCATTTCAAGTTGTTTAGCAGCACTGCTAGTTTTCAAAATGATAATGTGAAGTTGATGAGATGTTGTTTCAGGAATGCCAGGGTGAGAGAAACAAAGAGTTCCATGCACCTTGTGGCCTAAGTCGAAAATCTGAATACCAGGATGCCTAAGTGATGATCTAACTAGAAAAATAGTAGACTATGTGCGGTTGCCATGTCTAGATCGTACCTCTTTTTCAGCAGCTTCTTTTAAGTCCCGGATGCGAGACTGCAGTATGTCATACTGAGATAAAAGCTGCTGTTTGATAGCTGTTGTTTCCACCGATCTTTGAGGAAGCTGTCACCATCGATAACAGAATGAGTATTCATTTATTCTCCCCAAGAAACTTCTTTTCACCTGGCAGTATCCATAGAAATACTGGACTCAGATTCAGAACTGTATTAAATTATCCTCGTTGCCATGAGCAAGAAATAATACCTTACATCACTGAGGTGATACAATCAGGTAATTTTTAGCATTCAAACCAGAAACGTAGAGACTTAATGGTGTGAGAATAGGGATGGTAGATGGGTATAATTTCGTGGATTTCATACCGTACCAGCTCCAATTGGGGTGGGGATGGGTATTAGTTTAGTGGGTAGTGGGCGGGTACAGAGGTAAAAAGTCATACCCGCCGTGGGCAGTGGGTAGGTGATGGGTTTGAGACATTACTTGCCCCGCAAATGCCCGTCCCGTGTCCGCCCGCCCACTATCTATTCACCATATAAATTTTAGATCATTATAAATTTAGGCATAATTTCAAAGATTATTGTATAAATCTTGAGATTTTATAGGACATAACTTGTAATTTAACCAAATGTTAGGGCATAAACATTTTTAGAAGTGAATACCGCGATTTATGTAATCTGTGAGGTTGTTATCATGCATAAATTGAGATAACCTTGAAATTCATGGAGAGAGAGAGAGTTAGAGAGAGAGAGTTAGAGAGAGAGATAGAGTGTCAGAGAGGGAGTGGGTAACAATTTGAGTAAGAGGGTAACTTGGAGAACAGTAAAGGAAATTTTTCAACAACAGGGGAGTGTTCTGCGCGTTTACATTCTGAGCAGTTCTTCTAAGCCAAATTATAGAAACCATACGTTTGCTTTCGTTCAGTTTGCAAAGGAAGATGGGCTGAAGAAGGCGATAACAAATGTCAATGGGATTTGGATAGATGGAAAGAAAGTTTCGGTAGGAGTAGCTAAATACCAGAAGCAGAGGCTCAGTCAAGCTGTTAGTAGTAACGTCAGAAGAGAAGAAGATAAGTTGAAGAAGGGAATGACTCGGAGAAGAAGTGGTGGATCTGAGTTTTTCAATCATTTGAGGGATGACAGATCATATAAGGATGCGTTAGTATCTTATGATGGGCGGAGGGAAGTTCCGGTGAGTAAAGAGCCAAGGGAGGGTCATCCAGGAAAGGAAGCAGGTCTGAGGAATTTGTGGGAGATGCATATTCACTCAGATGATTATGAGTGGGTGAAAAGATCATTAACAGGGATTATCAAATCCCATTTTGAATTGGAGTTCGTAGTGAAGGGGTTGGCCAGTGAAGGGAGCTAAATGGGGTTATTCATGGAATTCTTGTATCTTAACCTTTGGCTCGAAGGAAGAGTTTGAGGAGGCATGGTTGAACAGAAAGGAGGAATGTTCTTTTGGTTTGATTGGCTCGACCCACTTATGAGTATGGATGGTGTCCCGATGGCTTTTTGTTCGGTGGAATTGGTTGGAGTCCCCTTGCTATGTTGGAATGTTCCTTTTCTGGAAAAGCTTGTTTCAAGGTGGGGGAAACTGGTGTGTATTCATGAGTCGACGGTTAGAAGAGAAGATCTGGCGATGGCAAGGGCACTGTTGAGGGTGGCCAGTCCTTATGATATTCAGGAATCTGTTACATTGGGCTCGTATGAGAGATCCTTTAAGGTGAAAATTAATGTGGGATCGGTTAGTACAAAACAGGATAACTCTTCAATAGCAAATTTTACGGTGGCCGATGATGGTGAGTTCAGAGATGAAGCTTCATCGGAGGAGAAAGAAGATAGGTGTTCAGGCGGGGTAGGTAGCTCAAAGTTGCTAGCTGAGGATTCTAGGGACACAATAGACAGATGGTTGGTAGGGGATGTTCGTACAACAGTGGTAGGCTGCAGTGAAAGTCAACATTTAATGTTGCAGGTTGGAGAAGGTCAACCTAGTGGAGGAAAGTTGTCAGATTTTTCAGATGAAGATTTGAATTTTAAAGGGGATTACTGGGGTCTTGGTTTAAGGAATGATATCTTCTTTGAAAGGGAGAAAGCCCAATCAAAAGAGTTGAGTGAGCCCAATTCAAAAACATTGATATTTCCCCTGCTGGGCCAGCTGTTAATTTAATTAAATTGGGCTATGGTCATTATAAGGAGTCTCAGGGGGAAATATTAGGAGTTCAGCAGCATCATGGTTCGGCTGAAACAAATACGCAGAATGTGGATAATGTTCCGTCAGACTTAATCCCAATTTCGATTCCTAGTGGGGTCATTGACTGAGGGACTTCAAAAAAGTCAAAGGATGAAAGGTTAAAGGAAGTAACAGTCCAGGATAATGAAGATAGTAGAGTGGAGGCAACAGAGGTGGTAAAGGAAGCAAGGCTAGTTCATATGGGTAGTAACCAAGGGTTAGGATTATATAAAGACTCTCTTGTAAATGGTTTAAGGAGTCGGAGTCCTTTAGATAATTTGTCTAGAAGTCTACATATAAGGAATGCATCGATAGGAAGGTGGAATGGAGGCTCTATCTCTAGAGTGTATAAAAGAACTAGAGACAGAAAGGTGTGGTTTAACCCGAGCAGGGAAGAAGGAGCATTGCAATCTTTGGAGATGACTGATCATAACAGGATTATAATTGAGCCTATGGCGAGTAATCAATCTCTTCCTGATATTGTGGAGGGAAGATCCATGGGAGTGGAGGAGGTAGGTGGTTCTAGGCACATTTCTGCAAAGGTTAGGAGTGTAAAAGATGTTGTAACAGATTGTCAGTCTGGTCCAGTGGTTAGGGTGGACAAAAGAAGGAAGAGAAGGCTTCTGATCAGGGAAGCTCTGGATGTGGTCAGTCTCCATACTGCACCATCTTCAAATTTCTCGGTATTTTTGGAGGAGGCTTTGGCAACATGGGAAGTCAGTAGAATTTTGGGGATTACATTCAAAGAGAGGAAGAAGGCCTTGGAAAAAATTATAAATTTTGAGAAAGGATTGGATGAAAGCAGGGTAAGGTTGGACTCGGGGGAATAGACTTTTGTCTACTTTTTTGCTCTGAGGCTTTGGTTTAACAACAGTCTTCATGATAAAGTTAAAGATTATTTCATGGAATGTAAGAGGTTTTGGTAAGAAGGAAAAATAAAGAGCTTTAGCAACTATGGTCAGGAAGCACAAACCGTGCATCCTCCTTATTCAAGAAACAAAGTTAGTAAATTGTTCTCAGACTCTTAGGAGAAGGATAGGTGGTAGTATTCTGAATGGAGGAATGTTTGTTCTAGCAGTGGGGTCTGCAAGGGGTTTAATGGTTATGTGGAATGATAAGGATTTTGAAGTTCTCAATAGTCACTTAAGTGGTCGATTCATAGCAGTTTTTGGGAAGTTAAGAACACAAGTGAAGAGTGCGTGATTATTAATGTGTATGGTCCTTCCATTGATTCGGAAAAGGCTGAAATTTTCAGGGAACTGTTGGATTTCGTTGCTGCTCAAACCGTGTTAGTCTGCATGGGGGGGATTTTAATGTGTACCTTGATCCGATAGAGAAGTTGGGAAAGTCTCAAAATTGGCTCTCTATTGATATTCTGTGAAATTTCTTGAACCAAACTAACTTGATTCATCTTCCTATGGTAGGGGGAAAGTTTACATGGTGTAATAATAGAGAAGCTTCTACTTGGGTCAGACTTGATAGGTTTCTAATTTCTGGGAATTTTCTGATCTGTTTTCTGAATATTGTGCAGAGCATGTTACCTAGGTCTTTATCAGATCACAATCCCATTGCATTGGAGGAAAAATCTATAGATTGGGGCCCTAAATCGTTGATGCCGGACAGAATAGTGATTATCTTGCAGGCGCTCTAACAAATGATTCACAAGAGAAAATTCGCCCCAAAAAACCATAGAAAAAAGTCTCTAGGGTTTAATAAAATATTATAAAATCAAACAATGCCCAAAATCAGTCCACAAGCCGGACTGTTATAGCAAAAAATCGTCTTTATTCGAATTTTGCCAAAATAGCAAAATCCCGAAAATCACTCTAAATTGAAATTCGAAATAAAATAAGCAATCTCCAAAAATCCGACCTAAATCGAATTTAAAATGTCTTATTAATTGACAATTGAAATATTATCATAAATAGTAAAAAATATCTAAATCTAGTGATTCAGAGGGGAAAACGGCAGAATTTGAGGTTGAAAAAAAGGTCACATGGAGCGTGCGCGTCGAAAAGAGTTTTTCGGATTGGGGTCTTCTGCGCGATTCTGACACCTGTAGCCAAAGTTATGGCCAAAAGACTGAAACATACTCAAAACGACCCCAATGAGAAACATGTCACAATCAATTCCCGCCTTTGCGCTGATCTGCCAATTCATGGTATCTCAGCGCCATCAAGGTGCAATCTGACAGCTCAACATCATCTGTCTCGGATCCCCTTGCATCAACCATTCAGATTTTTTAATTATCTATTAGTGGAGGAAGGTTTTGAGGATTTGGTTAAATCGTCCTTGGATAATTTGCGGGTGAGTAAGAGAAAAAGGGGTATCTTCAGTTTTTTACGAAGAACCAAAAAATCCATCAGAAACTGGTATGGCAGAAAGTTTCATGGGATTTCTGAGTCAATTACAGAATTAGAATTGAAGATTAATGATCTTGAAATTAAGCACAAAGTGGTGTTATCTCCCAACAGGCGTGGGATCAACTGTTACAGTTCAGATCGAACCTTTGGAGGTTGTATAGAATTGAAGAAAGTATTTGGTTCCAGAAATCAAGGGCTAGATGGATCAAAGATGGGGACAGAAACACAAAATTCTTTCATTTGTCTGCGTTAAACAAGAGTAAAAGAAATGAAATTTCAAGTTTGAAGTTTAATGGCTCTGATGTATCTGATCCGCAATTGATTAAGTTGCATATTGCGGATTATTTTAAGGAAGCCTATAATTCTAAGTTAACTTTGGAAGTGGTTGATTTATCTATGGATTTTGCAAAGTTGACAGTGGACCAATCTTCAAAACTTGAGTATTTTTCAGAAAATGAAATATGGCAAGCGATAGCTTCATCGGACAGTTCTAAAGCACCTGGCCTGGATGGCTTCACCATGAGTTTTTTAAAAAAATGTTGGCCTAGCTTAAAGGAGCAGGTTATGAAATTTTTTCAGGATTTCTACTATGGTAGGGTATGGGAACATGGGGTGAATCATGTGTTTATTACGCTCATTCTGAAGAAACTTAATCCGGATAATGTGGAGGACTTTAGACCAATTAGTCTTGTGGGCAGTCTATATAAGATCCTTTCTAAAGTGTTATCCAAGAGATTGAGTTGTTGTGTTGGAGATATCATAAGTCGGTCTCAATATGCATTCATACCGGGGAGACAACTGTTGGACTGCGCTTTTATCGCGAATGAAGGAATTAATTATTGGAGAAAACAAGGGTTGCAAGGGGTTGTTTTAAAAGTCGACTTTCGGAGAGCTTATGATACTGTGGAATGGCCAATTTTATTTAGAGCAATGTCAGAGATGGGTTTAGGCTACAGATGGTCCTCGTGGATTTCTCAGTGCCTTTCGACAGCCTCGATTTCGATTCTAGTTAATGGGTCTCCTTCGGAAGAGTTTTCTATGGCCAAGGGTTTACGACAGGGTTGTAGTCTCTCGCCGCTCTTGTTTAACATAGTTGGTGATATACTCCATTTGATGTTATCCAAAGCAGTCGAAAAGTATTGTTCCAAGGTTTTGTTATTGGGAGAGCTGAAAATTCTACTACATTGTCTCACCTACAGTTTGCGGACGACCTGATCATTTTTTGCCAAGCAAATATAACTCAATCAAGAATGTCATAAGAGTGCTGAGGATTTTAGTGTTATGGCGGGTTTGCATCTAAATTTGGTGAAGAGTAAGTTGTTTGGAATTAACATGGAGGATGAAGTATTAGCAGATTGGGCATCGCAAGTGGGCTGTTCAGTAGGTTATTTTCCAACAGAGTATTTGGGTCTTCCTCTGGGTGCTAAGAGAAATTCAGAGGCTTTATGGGATCCAGTTTTTAGGAATTTTAGTGCTAAACTTGTTGGTTGGAAAGCTTTATGTCTGTCATTGGCCGGTATGACAGTATTATTGAAGTCGGTGCTAACTTCTTTACCAATTTTTTTTCTTATCTCTATTTAAAATGCCTTGCAAAGTTGGTAATAAGTTAAATTCGTTAATGGCTAATTTTCTATGGGGTGACAAAGAGGAAAAGAGGAGAATTCATTGGGTGAATTGGAGTACGGTTTGTAGGCCATTGAATGGAGGCGGTTTAGGTGTCCAAGATTTGAATCTCACCAATCGGGCTCTATTGGGTAAGTGGGTGTGAAAATTAGCCAATGACAAAAATTCCCTATGGAAAAGAGTGTTGTGCAGCGAACACAAGGTTAGTTGCAATAATATGTCTATTAGGGAGGTCACTTATCCGCATTCTTCTTGGATTTTGAGAGGAATTGCTAATAATTACTTGAATGATTCGGTAGGAGATTGTTTTAGATCAAATTCGAAGTTGAAAGTGGGAAATGGAAAGTCCATTTCTTTTTGGAATGATGCATGGGCTAATGAGACTTCTTTAAAATTTCTTTTCCCTAGAATTTTTGTGCTCTCTCCTATTAAATAGGGGAAGATCGTAGATTTTGGAAGCTTTGAACCGAGCGGTTGGGTGTGGAATGTCGAAACTAGAAGGAATTTGTGTGATTGGGAATTGGACCAATGGATGGATTTGATGTCTAAACTGAACGATATCCAATTTTCAGAGCTGGTGGAAGATTCTTTATCGTGGTCTGCTAGTGGAGATGGTCTATATTCGGTCAAATCTTGCAGAAATACTCTTGCCAGTGAGTTGGGGGGTAGTGCTTTGTGGATAGAAGGGGTTTGGATGGGTCTTGCTCCACCTCGGGTGGAAGCTTTCCTTTGGCAGCTCGCACATCAGAAAGTAGCAGTCAAAGCTGAGTTGGTTAAGCGAGGTATACCCCTAGGAGATGATATTTTGTGTCCCTTGTGTAAGAAACAGGAGGAATCAGTGCAACATTTATTTATTTCTTGTTATGTTGTTTGGGAATTATGGAACAAAATAGCTAGTTTTTGGTACATATCGTTGGTGTTATCACAAGATCCTCCTTCGCTTCTTTGTTCATGGGGTGAGTTGAGGGTGAACTCGATGATTTGGAAATTTATCCCGGGAGTAATCTTTTGGTCAATCTGGAAAGTTAGGAATGCAATGGTTTTTGAAGGATCTCTTCTTGACAGAATGTCGTTGTTCTTCATTGTTAGATTCAGGCTTACTAAATGGTTCCTAGCCAAATTTCCTAAAATAACTATTCAGGAGGATGTATTGATTGGTAATCCATCCCTTTCAGATGGATTTTCACTATTGAAAGCTTAAGATCGTCATGTCTTAAGATGGATTCCCCCCCGGTAGATTTCCTAAAGATGAATGTCGACGGAGCTGTTAGGCTTGATGGTTCGGGTGGAGGAATTGGAGGTATAATAAGAGATTGGAATAGTTGTACCCTTTTGACTTTTTCAGAGAATGTTGGTCAAGGAACTCCTCCACTTGCTGAATTAAAAGCTATAAAAAGAGGTATTGAAATTTTTTTGTCTTCATGTTGAGAGTCTATTGGTAGGTTGATCGTTGAGAGTGATTGTTCGTCGGTAGTGGATTGGATTCATTCCGCGGTTCTGGCCCCAGTTTTTTTATCGCATCTAGTTTATCAGATTTCTACTCTTATCATGGGAATGGTTCATTCAGTGAGGTTAATTCCAAGGGCGTGCAATGGAGAGGCAGACAGTTTAGCAAAGAAAGGGATAGGTTGACTGTGTGAGATGATTATTATGGCAGTTGGAGTGTTTAAGTATTATGTACTGGATTTTAGTGTAATTGTTAAATCTTATGTAAACTTTCAGTATCAATAAAAGTTCTAAGGCACTCTTTTCCTCCTTCCGCTGATTAAAGAGCTTATTCTAAAGCTCCATTAATCAAGAAGGGGGTTTTTAACGAGGCCTTCCTTTCTTATAAAAAAGAAAGGTTGTTATCATGCACGTATAGGTGGGTACAAGCAGGTATAGGTGGGTATAGGTAGGTACGAGATGGATGGTGGGTATCCAGTTGGGTAGTGGGTGTGAGGGTGGATTTAAGAATGTACCCACATAGGCGGGTATGGATTTGAAAATTATATTAGCCGTGGGTGGTGAATAGTTAATGGATACAAAAATATTAGATGGATACGGTGATGAAGGAAGGAGTATTCACACCTGCCCGTCCATTTGTCATCCCTATGTGAGAAACATATAGGTAAATTATAGCCTTAATAATGGGTTGGAAGCTCAATTATAACAAGGTTTTATGGTTTTGCAGGCATAACGGTGGAACTAAAGCAAGCCAAGACCATGGTTTACCTGATTTAATTGCGGAAAAATCACAGCATTTAAAGTTGCTCCAACAGCAAGGGTCTCTACAGCAGCCACAGAAAGCAATTTTGGTAAGCTCAGGTCTATTATCCCTGACGCAGCATCTCCCGCAGCCAGAACAGTGAGAAGTGGAATGATAAACTGAGGCTTAAATATGGATATGTTTCCATCTTTTGCAGGGGCTCGTAGTAATTGTGGTTCCCGACCATCTTTGTGGTTTGTCAGGCACATCGGTTCCCCAGGGTAAAAGTTAGGTGCCTTAGGACTAAACTTGAAGGGTCCTACCTCTCTATAAACATTTGAAGGAGCAGCACAAGCAATCGTTACCCTTTCTCCTTGTGCAGGTCCTTGTGCAGGAAGATCAACTGTTTCAGCAGCAAATCTGTGCGTACGGGCCAGACCAGAAGGGGTTTGTACCTAAAATGTCGATGAAGGTGGAACTAATCAAATAAGGTCCAAAGGGGTTTATGTAAGAGAGTTGACAGAAAGTCACTAAAAGTGTTAAATCATATACAGAGGGTTAATATTTAGTTTCCATAATAAGAACATTGTGGAAAAAAAATCCTTTCACCGCTGATGAGATAAATAATAAGAACACATAGCACATTGAATTATACAAAAACCAAGTTTTCAATCCAAAAATGATATTGTCAAATCAGAAAACTGAATGACTAAACAAGGTAGTAAATGCGTACCAGAATAGAGTGAACAGCAGAAGGAACTCTTTGCTTGAAATATCTGCAGAGATTTTAGCCCCCTTTTCCATGCTGGAATCTCCATGCTGCGTTCGGCAGGAGGAGTTCCTTAGAAAAAGTGAATATACCAGCATCAACACCATACACGAACATAGTGTATTATCATCAACACATATTAATTAGTGCATTCATGATTGCGTATGCAATGCAAATTTCAGAAAGTTAAAAGAAAGTGTATCCAACACAGGTAAGTTCAACTTTATTCCTTATCGCAGCTTGCTATCGCTGACTTCTGTTTATCCTTCTCTTCATGTTTCCTCTTTTAAATTTAGCCGGGACTTACGTTTCTGTCTATAAACAGAGATTTTCACGCAGGGAGGATTACTTCAAATTACAGACGCGCATATGAAGACAACATATGAAAATTGTTCAACTATTTCAACTATGTATTTATTGACTATTTATCCATGCATTGTATTTTATCTTTATTTTTAATTTTCTTACTGCCGGAGGTCTTCCACGGAAGCTGCTCTCAACCTGGCGTTGGGGGCAGCCTACTACCCCACCTCCCCTTTACTCCATTGCATATGGGAATAGGGTTTTGTTGTTGTTGTTGTTGTTGGCATAGTTGTTGGACATGAGTATTTCAACAGAAAAAAAAATGAAATGTCTGAATTGCATAGACCAAAACTATCCAGTAAAAGCACTCGACCTTTATTAAAGTCATTTTCAAAGTACTCAAAGAGTGCACTAAACTTTCATGGCTGAGATATGAATACAAACAAAGCTTAAAGCTGAATGCCATGGCAGATAAAAACTTTCGTGGTTCGGAACATAAGGTTCAAACACAAGTCTGGAAAAATCAAATTTACATCTTCTAGGGAAAAGTCAAACATCCCAGAAAGTAAAATATAAAGAAACAAACCAACTTGATTTCTTCTGAATCGACACTCACTATGTTTCCAGAAACTAGCTCATACTTGTAGCGACATTTGGCGCAACATACAATCTGCAAAAATGTATAAATATAGAAAGCAAAATCTTGAGACAATATATGCATAAAGGTTCAAAACCATGCAATTACAACCTAAATGTAGTGGCCGTGGTAGCACTCTTAACAAGCATCAAATCCTGCGATTTGCAAATAAAGAACATTCAATATACCAGCACCAAAAACTAAAATGTATTTTTACTTGAATTCCAAGTTGTGGTTGAGCAACACCAACAGCTATGGAACAATTGGGACACCTTACATCTTTCCCAAAAGGTACATTTGATAAGAGAAACAAAATGACTCAGAAGGTTTTTCCAATCAAAATGATCAAAAGGAACATTTTTTAAGGCTAAAGAAGTTCAAAGTCCATACCTCCTCACTAGGAGAAACTCCAACTCGGCAAACATCATCGATTATTCTAAGAGCATCAGAGACCCTAACCAATGCTGCCAATCCCTGAACTAATGTAGTGTAAATCCCAACATCGGGTCTTGACCATTTCCACCTAACAACCAATGCCTCAGTCTCACTCACACTTATAACCAAAAAAAATGAATAACTACAAGAGAGATTTTTTTAATGTTTGAAGGTCAACCGGAAAAGATTTAAAAAAATGAAGACATGTGTCGAAGCTGGAACGCATGGCATAGAAAACAGACAAAGCCAAGTCAGCATTGTTACGATCAAGTGCGGCGTTTATTATCAGACGACAGTCAGAAACACTCACAACGCCGCCGTTTAGTTGACCGCTGCTTTCACTCTGGTTCTGAGCGATCATTTGGAGTCCTTCTTCGGAATCTTTAGTAGCCGAGACTCTGCTCAGTAACGTCTCGTCTAAAACGGAGGTTTCTTCGACGACGCCGTCTGATTGGTTTTCTTTCACGGAAGCTATGGGTTTGAAAGGTTTAGAATTTGAGAGAAGAAATGGGATTGGAGCGTATAAGGAGAGACGAGAGAGTGGAGTCGTTTTGGGAAAAGTCGGGTAGTTCAGTGTTTGGAGGAGAAAAGCGTGAGAGCCATGGTGAATAAGCTAAGCTCAGACTCATTTTTCGTATGCTTCGCTCTCTTTTTATGTTTGCTTGCTTAGTTTAAAGGGATTTTAAACATTCTTTTTTGGGTTGGGTATCACTGTATCACTTTGGAGGACGGATTGAGATGAGGAATGTAAGGTTCAGACTGCAAATGGATTCATTTGTTTTTTGCTGTTAATGTTCTTTGATAGATTTCCAGCCGTTGATACGGTATTTTATAGAAGGAACTGCCATGGTCATTGACGATGACCATAATAAATAAAAAAATATGATAATGGATGATGGAAAAACAAAATTGGAGGTGCGGGGAATCGAACCCCGTGCCTCTCGCATGCGAAGCGAGCGCTCTACCATATGAGCTACACCCCCAAGTCGTTAACAGATTATAAATTACAATTAATAAATTTACTAGTCTACAGCCTTTTGCTTCTTTTGGAAGAACATGTATATAGTAAAGGGGTACTCACGAGTCACGAGCCATACCATTTAGACGTTATGAAAACAAGAGACGTAATTAGAATTTTTTAGGTGCAATTAATATAAAATATTTGATGCAATTAACTATATAATGCATTTGACAAAATAAATTGTTTTGATGAAGAATTACATTCTTGGGGGTAACATCAGTTTATGGATTGTTCAGAACACTGCACTTGCTTAATAGCATTTTTTTTCCTCCACGGTATGTCAAATAGCTTATTCTAGCTAGCTAGGAGCAGACAGCTTTGAATTTCAGCTAACCTTATGGTTTTCTTAAATACATTCTCCAATCATCATAGTTAATCTGAAGCACACCACCATATCTATGATAGAGATTCATACATGTCCGCTCAATGTTACATTTGTTACTTGTACTCGAGCCTCCCAGTTGCACTATCAATTTTTACATAGAACCATACAACCATTTCTCTGCGTTGCTTGTATAGCTAACCAATTCTTGTGGCTTGAACCACAAGTTGGTTTCATCCTTGGCAGTCTCAGGACCATCACTCCCATGAATTATATTTCTGCGCACCAAAAGAAGAGCTGAATTTAATATACGCGATGAAGAAGTTAGCATATGTAAAATCGACATTAAAAACGGAAGCTTATACCTTCCCACAACCACTGCTAGATCACCTCCGATGGTGCCAGGCTCTGATTTCTGAGGATCTGTTGCTCCTATGAGTTTCCGGCCATATTTGATCACTCCCTCTCCTTCCCAGAACTTAGTGTGGATGAAGTTGACTTAGCTTAGTTAGGTTTGAAGCAAATACAACACGAAGGTGACGTATCTAGTTTCTGTTTACCATGGCAAGAACAGGGCCAGAGCTGAGGAATTCGCACAGGCCATTGAAGAAGGGTCTTTCCTTCAAGTCATCATATAATTTTTCTGGGAAAACTCCATTGATGGCCACAAGCTTGAACCCCTTGCGCTCAGAACGAGATATGATTTCCGAAATCTGGAAAAGAATAAGATGATGACTAATGAGAAGACATCTTAAGTTGGTGTTAAAGATTTGATGAATCCCATTCTCACCAGCCCTCTTTGTACTCCATCTGGCTTGATTGCAATGAAGGTGCGTTCCATCTGATTGAACAAAAAATGGTAAATTATACAGAGAACAGAATGGGAAAAAATGAACAGCCTACACGATTAAAAATAGAGTATTAGTGACACAATTGAAGCATGTAAGTTACGAAAATGATGAAAACACAAACATTCAGGGGTTGGGTTAAGGGGGGAAAGAGTGTGGAATTCATCCACAAAGATTACAATCAGTAAGCCAAGCATCTACGCTGCTAATACTCTTCATTCTGTTTTAGAATTAATTCCAAGAGTAAAAGTAGGTAGCACAATCAACTATGGGGAACCAGCTGTGAAGCCATTGCAGTAGATGGACACGGAATAGAGAGAGAGAGTGCATAGGCAAGAATAAGAAAAGGCAGCAGAATCAAATTAGATCACTACTGCAATACATGATTTTAGCAAGTGCACATTCATTATTCAGGGAATTGAGCACAATGTTGGGAGAAATTTATGGAAGATGGCAAGTCTAAAATGCATCACAATAAAGCATTTCCTCCCTACTGTGCCAATGCAAAGTATAATTTTTGTTGGAGAGGTCCAGGACGCCACAATGCTAAAACTTGGGCAAGGGGCTAGGCTCCTCTTCCTTCACCATATCAATTTTGTTTTACAAGCATGATCCAAATAACAGAAAGTACTACTCCAAATGAAAATAGAGGCATGCATCCGAATCAGATCACATAATTAACAAAACAGAGAACCGGGAAAAAAAGTTAAAAGTCATCCAAACCTGCCATTGGAAGAGCAAGAACTCCTGAAAGCCATGCTCTTGATGCATTAGCAGATGCAGTCCTTGCATGAGCCGTAGCTAAAAGAGGAACTTTACCGCTAAGCGAAACTGCAGCAGCAGCAGCTACAGCTACAGCTCGCCCTTCTACAGACCATAATATGATAGTTAAATTAAATAGCTTAAACCAGAAATGATCATGTGCAACAGTCTTAATATACGGATAAAAAAGTATTACCGGTTTTGCTATTATTTAAATAATAAAATTGGTAAAAAAATTACAGGAAACGTTATTATTTCTATCTAAAATATTAATGTTTTTTAATATTTCTAGTAAAGTATTCAACAATAATAAAACCGATAGAAAAAATGACAAAACCACACTGATATTTTAGGTAGAAATAATAATATTTTAGGTAAATTTTTACCGATTTTATTATTTAAATAATAATAAAACCGATAACACTTTTTTAACCGTATATGCACTATAGAACTTGTCGGACGTTCACGTTGTGTGACTACGGATATTTGTTTGTTTCTTTTCTGATTTGAGATCTGTAATATAATAAAAAAATAATAATAATATCTTAAATTAAAATATTATTAAAAGTTGATTAAGTAAAAATGCATAAGAGGTCCCTATATTTTTTTAAAAATTAATATGACACTCATATTATTATTTTTCTTAATGTGGCTTTAACTCAGAAAATAAATCTAATATGATTACCAACTTTTTTTAACATTAACTATTACGATGCTGACGTGATAATCCACGGTAGTTGATAATGTGACAAATGACATGATAAATGTGTTAAATTGATAACTCAAACATGACAGATAAACTGTCATGTTAGCACCGTGAACTATCACACCAGCAATATAACGATGAACAAAGGAAAATGTTAATCAAATGGTCACATTAGGTTTGTTTTATGAGTTGGAAGATCACATTGAGAAAAAAATGATATAAAGCCATGTTAATTTTTTAAGTACAGAACTTTTATGCCCTTTTGCCTTTTTAAAATTTAAACATATGTTTAATATGATTTCATGTGATAATAGTATTAATTTTAAAATTTATAAGTTTTATTATTTTAGTTTTAGTTTAAAATAACTTATTCAATTTATTTTTTATATTTTAAATTTATTAATTTAATTATTTTCTATGATATTATTAAATAAAGGTGATATAATATATTAGGAGATGAATAAACATTTTAAAAAAATAATAAAAATTAAATTAATATAATTTTAAAATGCTAATAATTAAATTTATAAAATTAATTTTGAATTAGGATAAATTTGATAGAATATATACGTTTTAAGGACTAATTTTTTATTATATTAGATCAATATCATGATTTCATCTAATATTTAACTTGTTAGTAATTGTTTGTACTAATATTTTAATTGAATAATTAAATTATAACTTATAGAAATAAAATAACTCTTTTGTAATCAAATTAATAATTGAGTGATATAATACGTATTTTATCGTAATAATAAATATACTATTATTGTTGTTGTTTCTGTTGATGTGCGGCTGAGATTTGATTGGACTAGGGCTGACGTCACTTTTCTTTGTTCCGCGGTGTGGTTGGGTTGGGTTGGGTTTGGCCAATAAACGCTCTATCCCAACTTGTAATATTAAAAAATATTAGATAAATTATAATCATGATCAATTAATTATACGATATATTCTAATTTACATAACACACTTTTAATCTTATCAATCACACCACTTAACTATTTAAACGATATTAATCAGATTATTGGTAAGGATATTTCTAATCCATAAAGAATCAGGTTTGATTCCCCCATAAACCATCTTTCTTTATTTTATTTTCCTTTGATCAATAAGTGATATATGTAACCATCTGATTTTTTTCATCGAATTAAATAAATTAAAATTAAAAAAATTACTAATCAGATGGCGTCACATGTCACAACAATTCATATCACCATATGATTGCAACATTAAATTATGAAATTAAATTAAAATTAATATTAAATTAATAAAATATATAAATTATAAAGACAATCTATAAGTATATTAATTTTATTAATTTCCATATCATATATACATATAATGTTAATAACATGTTACTTTATTAAAATCATTTAAATAATTTAGTTAATAAAATTAAAAATTAAATTATTACCCAATAATTAAGTTGTGACGAATATAATTTACCAGAAAAATATACAAAATGCTGTGGGCACATTACATAAAAGTAGAATCATATTCATATCACTCACAATAACTTTGTAATGATAAATGTCATCTTCTTCATCAAAAACCTTAGCTGTCTTGGGAAACTAAACAAATGAAAAGGACAATGATAAAGCAGATCTACTTAACTCTTTTGTCAATATTTATTTCCCAAACTACCTGCTGCAAAATCTTCTTTCTATAATATATTATTATATATTATATATTGGGTATTCCCGTTATAAGGGGTCTTTTGATCCGTATTGTCTGTTCATTTGGGGCTTAATCGCAAGAAAAGAATTTTGGAGAGTTGTCTTCTCACAGGGCAAAAGCAGTCAATAAAGCTCTAAAAGTACTATGTTTGGAAACCTTAGCATGCAAAGCTAGTTTATTACAATAAACCCAGGAATCAAACTTCTAATGAATACCAACTCTAAGACAAGTGCTGCTTTATTGGAAATGCCAATCCTATGTACATCAACAAAACAACTGTTAGTGGGATCCCAGTCCCAGTAAAATTCAATGTAAGCTGAGTTCAATGTGCTACATCTAATCTATGTTACACGGACTAGGGGCGAGTATTGAATATATGTATTTGCCCAGCATAT